AAATAAGAAAACACTGGGAATAACTTAATTAATAGGAAGAATTAAAAATCATGTTCAATCAAGACATATAAAAGAATACACCACAATCCGAGCACTCTTGGATAAAAAACATGAAAGCCTAGTAGATATCATACTTGCTAATAAATGTCACCGAACCAAATGGAAGATATAACTCTGGACAAAAGCTAATAGTAGATATTATATTTTCTCTTTCCGATGCTTTGGTTAAACCAGTCAAACCAAGATACAGAAAGAAAATAAGACAGGGAAAAAAACACCTTTTTATCCTCAAATAGTATATAAAATGATGAATGCATACTTTTTTACCATCTAAGATGTCAATAAGGAACCTCCAAGCCACAAACCTAAATCAACACTATAAATAGGTACACAAGCTAAAACCAAGGGCAACCGTGTACAAAATGTATATATCTCGAGGACATCTTAGTATAGACAATCAAACCCAGAACAGACATTAAAGGAAGTGAAATGCTTGAGATATACATTTTTTATTTGGATATTGAGAGCAAAAGTGAGATGGCAGAAAACACAAACAAAATTGAAACATTGACCCGTGTTTGATGAAGAGGAGGTCGTGCACCAAGAGACAAAAGACTAGCCAAACTGAGATAAAGTAATATATGTTTCCAACAGATCATCATATCATAGAACATAGAACAAAAGCTTCCAAAGCCTCGGATACTGAAAGAGAAATCAGAATCGAGAGACTTTGGATTTCAAAGACTTGCCATCCAATTATACAATTCAGTTCGGAGCAAAACAACCACAAGTTACACAATCTAAACCTCATTCAAAAGTATTCAGTCAACCCATATCTATGTAATCAAACCATACAGATCAAGCTTACGAGTTGCATTTCCCTAATCGAAATGTACTTCCCATCTCAACTAAATATAATGCACATCAAATCTACAGCCAATCACCAAAACAAGCATAAACCGATTAACAAATTTAATCTTACAATGCCAAATTCCTGGATCAAATTGCACTTTCTAGCCCCTATCCATAAAAAGAAATCAACAAAAAACAATGCACATTACATACAGGAAAATTCTTACAAAAACTACCAATAAAATCAAGGTCACGGAATTGAGTTCAAGCTCGGGATCAATAACAGTTAACCACTTCAACCTTTTAAACCAAATAAATTCAGCAGCAAAAAATAAATGTAATCATGAACAAAACTTTCATATAGAATAATAACAACCTTGATGGATCTCCATGAGCAGCCAACCATGGCTCAATCATTGAAGCCCCGAAAGCATCCACAAAATGTCTTTGAAATTCAGCATTGGTGAACTCTGATCCAGCCCCACGCGCCCCATTCCCCAACGACTTACTACACTCAGCTAAATTGGCTTGCTTTGCTAACCAGTTCAACACCTTAAATCCATCCTCAAATGCCGCCGGATACTTATTCTCCGGCGCCAACCTATATCCGACGGCGACCACAATAACATCACACAATTTCGCTATCCTCCGACAAAAATAATCGTTAGCAACTGAATCACTGCTCCCACTTACCCAACCGCCGCCGTGAAACTGCAACATTACCGGTAATTTTCGACAATTTTGAGGTGACGGTGAATAACCTCGATAAGCATATTGTCGGATCTTAAATTTAACCCCTCGAAACTGATTCTTCTCGAATCATTTCTCGAGGCTCCGATATTCGGCGGGCCATAACTACTACGGCGGTGATTATGGGAATTGACATCATCTTTTTGGGACGACCTGGGCATTGGTTTCGAATCTGGTTGTTCGGGAGGGGAAAGGGAGGATTCAGGGAGGAAGATCCGAATCCAAAGGGCAGTGAATGGATCGATGTGGATGTCTTTAGTAGCGACACCATCGTTGAATGAAGGATTGGATGCGGAAACGGATTCTTCGGGTCGGGTCGTTGCACCGTAAGGACTGGAGGATTCATCGATAAAGGATTGGATCAGGTTCTGTAAACGGTGTTTGAAGACGAACTTGAAGAATACACTGTATAATTTCAAAGCTACGCTTGGCATTTCCCTTGAGATTTTCTTTTCTTACCCAAAATATTAAGAAAAGAAAATCCCTTTAAATGATTTTCTTGCTCAAAACAATTTCTGGGTTTGTATTTTCTGAGATTTTCTTGATGGGTTGGCAGAGACCAGGAATAAAGATAAAGCCTTCTCCTTTTTGGTTCTTTCTTTTAGCTTCAGAGTAAGGTTTTGTTTTGTTATTTTGGGGAGGGGCTAAGGTAAAGGTAAATTCATGGCTATTGTGGAAGGGGAAGTTCAAATGGTTAATTAAAATTAAAATTTCACAGGGATTTAGATTATTAGGGTTTTTAAATTTTGGGAATTCTATTCAAATAAGAAACTCCATTGGTGGAAGATGATGACATCTTACATTTACGTCCAACAACCAAATCAATTCTATTAAACTACTATTTAATCATTCATTTATTCTTATATTTTTGTTTTAACCACTCAATACGCTTTGATTCTATTTCAGTAATATATCGTTAAAAAATAAATAGAACTATTATACATGATACTTTTTATTTGTTCTTTCATTGATAATATAATATTACTTTATAGTGACACATTAACATTATCGTTAATTATTTTTTAACGATATATAACTAAAATAGAACCAAACTTTAGATATGATTCTTCTAAAAAAAAGTTAAGTTACCAAAATGAAATCACAAAAATATGTGAGTGACTACGTACACAATTTATCCTAAAATCTTTTATGAAAACTTTAAAAGATTACAAAACGCCTTTCTCCTCCCAAGTCCAACCCCTCAAGAGAAAAATCTTAATTTCCAAATCATTTTTAAATATTAAATATATATTTATGATATTAAAAGATATTAAAACTTAAATCTTTGCATAAATTTCCTATTAGTCCCAATGTACTAAATTTCATATTTGAAAATATTAATAATCTTTGTATAATTTAGAAGATAGTAAAACTTAAATCTTAAGTTTGTTCATTGATGTTATCAAATTTCTTTGGGTGAACATTGGTCCGGTTGATATCGTTGTCGTTGCAACATATAAGAATTCCTGAGTCGGGTTTAGGGTTTTGAATATGAAAACGAAATATTATACTTAAGATTTTATTTATTTTCCTTTTTTTTTTGTCATTTTTTAATTAAACGAAAATTCAGTTACCAACAAATTAATCTAGTAGATGAGATATTAGGAGTTTTAGTTATGATATTATAAATAAAATAAGTAAAGTTAAAAAATTTATCATCAAAATTAATATTTATAATATTTAATTTAATTTAAATTAATTAATTTAATAATAATAATTAATCAAAAAACAATATTTTAATTAATATTGTTAAAACCATTTAAATTTATGATTTTAATTTATCATGTTATATTATCAGTACTGATTATATATTTTTATATATTCAAAAAGTAATTACATATTATTTGATAAAATTATTTAAATATTTTCTTTGAACTTATGTCTTCCATAATCCATATTATTAAAACAAAAACAATACCAATAGATTAATTCATTAAACCAAGACTAATTCCACCGTATATTCTTAAACACGCTGTCGCTGGGCACAATTTTCAGTTTTTAGTTGAGCTCGGCCATGATACACGTGCTCCTTGGCGCGTAAAAAAATTAGAGTAAATTATGCATTTTGTACCTAAACTATCATTTTTTGGTTTATTTTAGTTTTTAAACTTTTAATTTTTTAAATAATACTTAATTATTTAGTTTTTATTTTATTTTAGTACCCGTCATTAAAAATTTAACTCGTTTAGTATCTAAACTATCAATTTTGGTCTGTCTTAATACCTAAACTTTCATTTTTTTTAAAACTTAAGTATGGTTTAGGTACTAAATGTGTTTTAATACTTAAACTTTAATTTTTTCAACACTTAAGTTTTGGTAATAAAAATGAAATAAAAACTAAATTTTATGTATGATTTTGAAAAATTGAAAGTTTAGGTATTAAAATATATTGAAAAATTTAGGTATTAAATATGTAATTTACCGTAAATTATTTAACTTTTTCAGTAAAAGATAGTACTATTATCAACCTTTCATGATTTTTTAATCAATTAAGAGTTTTCTAAAAGTTATCATTGGAATAAATCAAAACTTAGAATAATTTAATATAATTAAATATATTCTACATTTTAAAAACTCGTACTCCTTCCGTAAAGAGGATAGATACGGGATTCGAATCTGATGAGTTTCGATCTGATCTGATTCTATTGGAATCGAGACCGTATATGAGGGTGAGACATCTATAAAAAAAAATTCTATCATTTGCTCCACTTGTATGGTTGTTAACACTGGCTGAAAGAACAATGCTCGGCGATTGTTTCTCTTTACCTGAAATGGCAGATATCTTGTCAATGATAAAAGTGCTTCGCCCTCAGAATTTGTATCGAAGTTCTTACAGCTGGTCAGTACATCCCTAGCTATATGTTTATGAAACTTAAAATAATTTGTTTCTTGTTAGTTTTAATGAGCAATTTATATTATTGTAGATTAAATATGTAAGCGGGTCGTGTGATGCGGCCGAGGGCTTTCAGCTGTTAGACAAGGAAATTGAATGGTGTAATCTCGGAGACTCTTTTATCTTGCACTTCCACCATCAGTATATCCATCTGTTTGCAGGATGATCAGGAAGTATTGCATGAATAAATTTAGGTACCTCTATTGCCAGAATAACATGATGTTGGAATATATGGTTCAGATTATTTTTAGGCCCTCTGTGAAGAAATAATTTCGTTTCGTCTTTGATTTCTTCATATTGGTTCCATAATTCACCAAAGCCAAGTGAAAATGACTTTATATTTTCTCTTGGAGACATGAATCTTGTATAGCTTGATGCTACTTTCCTGGAAGTGTTCCATCGTGATTAGAAGACTTTTTTGACCATTTTACATGATATTTGCGTAGATGTGATAACTAGCTATCTGATTTCTTTTCCAGCTGATCTTGGTGGATGGACTCGGATTGTTGTTGAGAAACCATTTGGTAAAGATTTGGAGTTTGGACTCTGCAGAGCAACTAAGTTCCCAGATCGGAGAGTTGTTTGATGAACCACAAATTTACCGAATTGATCACTATTTGGGAAAGGAATTGGTCCAGAACCTGGTAATGAATGTGCAAAATGGATGCTTCTTCCTGCCCCTTTGGAATCGCGAACACATCGATAATGTACAGGTGAGGATCCATCAATTGTGGATGTTCTGCGAAGTGTCATGTTGAGGGTATTGCACTGTTGATTAGTTTAGGATATGCCTTATAGGCTTTGCTGGGATGGGCTGTCATATTATTGCCTGATAAAGAAAAATGCCATAGCCATTTTTTGTCTGAGACTGATAGGGCTTTGCGTTGTCAAGTTATTATATTCTTTTGATATTAATCTATATTTTCTGTGTTTCTTCTGGCAGATTGTATTGAGAGAGGATTTTGGAACTGAAGGTCGTGGTGGATATTTTGATGAATACGGGTATGCTTTGTAGCACTTATCTCAGATCCTCATTGTATGGGAAATTTTTTGAAGAATCACGTGCTTTCCCCTTGTATGTGATTTGAAATGTTTCTCCTTTTGTGCTATTTGTGCAGAATAATCCGTGATATTATCCAAAACCACCTATTGCAGGTAGGGTCATGGCTAACCTCGACTCGATATCGTATCGCTAAGAATGGATCCTATGGCATCGGAAGAAGATAAACTTAAACGGAAAATCCAAACTAACATTCATATTGCTTAACTAATCAGGCGGCATGGGAGATTTTCACGCCTCTTCTACACGGAATCGACAAAGGTGAAATGAAGCCAATTCCATACCAAACAGGCAGCCGCGGTCCTGCCGAAGCCGACGAGCTTTCGGCTAAAGCCGGTTATGTTCGAACACATGGGTATATTTGGATTCCTCCCACCTTGTAGAAGAAACTTGATATATATAGCTAAAGACCAAGTGGTGTTTTGCATCACCATTGCCATAGACGTTGAGGTTTGTAACAAATGCAATAAAATATCCCTTTAAATCATAATTGGAACACTTTATAAAGGCTATTTCCTTGTCATATTTGCAAGTTATTCTAATCGTTACTTATTATTATTTATTTATTTTCGATTCAGCTCAACTCGATCATTGTCAAAGAAATATATAATATCCCTATTTAATTTTTTGAGGAATAAATATTTAGTTTAAAATAAGGGGTTTTTAGCTAAATAAATATCTAATATGTAATTTGAAGTAAGGATTAGTTTTAGTTTTAGTACAAATCAAGTATATAACTTATTTCACAAAAGCAAATTAGTCCAAAGATTCTTTTAATAGCTTAATTTTGGTATAAAACATATTTAGTTATTGAATTCAGTAAATTTTTCATTTTGGTCTTTAAATTAATTTTTTTTCATTTTCTATCCCTATCTCTCTTCTTATTTGTCATCACCTCACAACTTTTTTCACCACCGTCATTGTTGGTTTCTTGTCGATCAAAAATCACCGATAAATTATTATTTATCTCCTCGTTCAATCAATCATCTTATTTTTTCTTTTAAAAAATAACTAGATAATTATGGAGTTCTTTTACTCAAATATTATCCGTTAAACATTATTCACTATTATGATACCTATTTTAAATAATTTTATGGATTAACATTTTTTTATAGCGTAAATAAAAATGCTTCTTATAAAATATGCCTTTAAAAAATGTTTTTACAGAAGGTGTGGCAACCCAATCAATAGAGTACCTATATCAAACATAGGATGCTTTCCATAGAAATCAATTTATTGAATTAGTTTTTTAGAATTATTTAATTAAATTTTTTAGTAAAAATGATGAAGAATATAAAAGAATAAAATTTTAATTAATTTTTAGACATTGAAATCGATATTGTGAAAGAAAATAAGAGTAAAATTAGAAAAAAATAAATAAACGAATGAAATGTTAGACGAATTTTACTATATCACGTTTGGCTCTTTGCATGGTACATTATTGTCACAATATATTTTAAGATAAAATACACAAATTGATATTATTTTTGTTGAGTCATTTGAATATTAAAAGTTACAAAATGATCTATTGGCTATTAAAAATTACAAAAATATTTATTTGGCTATTCATTATGTTTCAAACACGTTATTTTCTGTTAAAAATTAATGATAATTTGAGTTGAATATTAACCTGCTAACTGATATATAATAAAATTTTATCTCATAATCTCAAATGACTATCATATCTCAGTCAGTATATTAATGTCCAGCTCAGATGAGCGTTAATTTTTTAACGAAAAAATAATAAGTTTGAAACATAATAAATAGTCGAGTGACTATTTTATAATTTTTAATAATCAAAGGATTCAACAAAATAAAATCTTATAATTAGATATCATTTGTGTACTTTATCCTAGATTTTATTATAAAAATAGATGAAATTGTTAACTATCTAAAATTTTAGGTATGAGATTAAAATAAAAAAATAATATATGATATTAAAGAATCAAATAATTAATTAAAATCTGGAATCGAATCATGAAATCCTTGAACTGATTTAATTCCAAAAAAAACAAAATTTTGGCATCCACAAATGGGTTGGAAAAGAATCCTAACCCAAAAATCACGTGAGCAAGCCTCGATTTTTCCACCACATGTTTGGTGGTCCCAATTGCTACCAGAAGTTTCCACCACTTCTGCCTCTTTCTCTCTTATATACTTAATTATACTCTTCATTTCCTCATCGTAATCATCACTCTTTTCATATTCTCTAACCAAGCTTCATTTACTCCTCCGCCGCCTTTGTTTTCTTTTTGTTTTTCCGTAATGGGGAAGATTAAGATCGGAATCAACGGTAAATATATATATTTTAATCTTTGGTTGTATTTTTTATGGAGCTGATTTATTTATTTATTTGGTGTTTGGTGAAGGATTTGGAAGGATCGGTCGTTTGGTTGCAAGAGTGGCTCTCCAAAGCGAAGATGTTGAACTCGTTGCTGTTAACGATCCTTTCATCACCACTGATTACATGGTTAGTAATTGTAATTTATTTTATTTTATTTTCCTCTGTATACTTTTGTATTTGTTTTCTTTTATGTTTTTCTAGAGCTTTAATTTGAATGAATTCTCGTGTTGAAGTTTTTTTTTTTAGTAGAAACAAAGCTGACCTGAAAGGATTCGTGATTTGAATTTATCTTTCCGTATCTGATCTCTGCCTAACGAGTATGAACAATTTAATAACATTTCAACTGTCTCTGATTTATTAAAACATTGATCTATCAGATATTTAAGATGAAATAATTGTTACTGTTTGGTTTTCAGTGAGCTGATCTTGTTTTTATATCGACAGTAGAAAATATAATTGTTTATTTTGTTTGAATTATTTAATAATTTGTTTATTGATTTGGTTTTGAAAATTGTATTTGTACAGACCTACATGTTTAAGTACGACAGTGTTCATGGCCAATGGAAACACAATGAACTTAAGGTGAAGGACTCAAAGACCCTTCTTTTTGGTGAAAAGCCTGTCACTGTTTTTGGTATCAGGTATGGTTTTCTTTTCCTTTGATCGAATATGGTGAGTTTTTGTTTGTTGGAAATATTTTTTTTTTGACATGCCTATGGGCTTGATGGTAGAAACCCTGAGGAAATTCCATGGGCTGAGGCTGGAGCTGAATATGTTGTTGAGTCTACCGGTGTTTTCACTGACAAGGATAAAGCTGCTGCTCACTTGAAGGTATGTTACACTAGTTTTTCCCCAAGTTTAACATGCCTTTTGTGTCTATTAAGACTGAAGAAGGAATATTGCACTGCGGGTTTGGAACTTAAATGCTACTGACATCTGTGCTCGATTCATATTTGAACATGTTTATAGGGTATAATCATCAAAATATATGAAAAATATCAAACAAATGCTAATCCAACACTCACTCCCAGGGACTTGCAACATGCCTTTCTCATTTCTGGTTTTCTTATCCTTTGTTTTTTTTCCTCCATCTCTTAGGGTGGTGCAAAGAAGGTGATCATTTCTGCTCCCAGTAAGGATGCCCCTATGTTTGTTGTGGGTGTAAATGAGAAGGAATACAAGCCTGACCTGGACATTGTATCCAATGCTAGCTGCACTACTAACTGCCTTGCTCCGTTGGCTAAGGTAATAATTATTCCTCTGTTATTGTTTTAAAGCATTTGCTAATACTTTTATCTCTTAACCTGTGAACATGATGGCAGGTAATTCATGACAAATTCGGTATTGTTGAGGGTCTTATGACCACTGTCCACTCGATTACTGGTAATTACTTGGTGTTTAATTGCTTTTTTCCCCTATCAAGATCCGTATTGTTGACTGACTTATCTTTTTTTCAGCTACCCAGAAGACTGTTGATGGTCCATCAATGAAGGACTGGAGAGGTGGTAGAGCTGCTTCCTTCAATATCATTCCCAGCAGCACTGGAGCTGCCAAGGTATGTATCTATTTTCAGATGTAGATTATTTTTCAAAAGATATTGGTTTTGTCCTGACAGCATTTATTCAATGGGGTTAATCAATTTTTTTCTAAATATGGATTTTAGAAAATTCTTAGAAATCAGATAGTAAAAGAGGTATTCTACTATTTATGCCCAAAAAAATTGTGATATTCTTCTGGTAGTTAAAACTTTTTAACTTTGACTTCAATCGAGTAGTTTTTTAGTTAAAATATTTAAAATAATTTAGTTCAAAGTTCAAATTTGGACTTTAAAAAATCAATTGTGACAGTGGGATTATATATTTTTTTCTCAGTTAATTATATTATCAGCTTGCTATTTTTTATCCAAATGCATCTGGAGGCACAAGCTTTTTCAAATTTGAAATAACTAAAATTAGTTGAGATTTTACTTTTATAAGTAATGCATGTATACATTTAATGATTTGATTTTTCGTCTTTTTAGTAAAGTTATATGATATTTTTATGTTTTGGTAGAACTTATAATTTTAGTAGAATTTTATATTTTAAAACCATATATATATATTCCTTTCTAGGAAATTCAAACATCACTCTGCAGCTAATTTGTGATTAGCTTTAGATGTTAGCACCTGTATTTTGCCCCTGTATTATGGGACTGACTAGCCTGCTATATATTGTTTTTAAATGATCTTGTTATTACATAGGCTGTTGGCAAAGTGTTGCCAGCATTGAATGGTAAGATAACTGGAATGGCTTTCCGTGTTCCCACTGTTGATGTCTCTGTGGTTGACCTCACTGTGAGGCTTGAGAAGAAGGCTTCGTACGAAGATATAAAGGCTGCCATCAAGTAAGGATTAAGAATATTTGATCTTATAGTATGCTGTATTTAATTTAAAAGACGCATACCGTTTATGTAATGACACCATGCGTCTTTTTTGTGTAGGGAGGCATCTGAGACCACCATGAAGGGAATTCTTGGTTATGCAGATGAAGATTTGGTCTCAACCGACTTTGTTGGAGACAGCAGGTGCGAGGCTTCGTTCTTTCAATATTTCTTTAATGTTGATTTTGTATATGGGGGCTATTTAGACGGGGAAAATGGAGGTTTAGTGATGCGATGTTGTGATTTATTTAACAGGTCAAGCATTTTTGATGCCAAGGCTGGAATTGCTTTGAATGACAACTTTGCTAAACTTGTTGCGTGGTATGACAATGAGTGGGGTTACAGGTAAAATCCTACACTCCCTTCAAAGTAAAAAGGAAGTCTTGCTTGTATGCTTCTCTGTGGTGGATGTGTAATGGTGTTAATTCTTTTTTGGTGCCGCAGTTCTCGGGTGGTCGACTTGATCCGACACATGGCTTCATGCTAAGTTAATGTAGCTGTTAAAAGCCCCTTCCTTCAGCTTTGGCGAGCAATTTAGAAGAGATGCATGATGGCTGTTGGGCATGCGAATAATAGATTTGTGCGGAACAATTTTCTTTTGGTGTGAACCCTAATTTTGCATGTTAAGTCCCTTTACGACGTAATAATAATTGGAAGATCATTAAATAAAAAAATGGCATGTGACAAGTTGATATTGCTATGATAGGAAAACATGATTTTAAAGTTATATGGTATGGTACGAAAACCAATAGTTATTTAATTGATTAATTCGACGCACTAATGAGCACATATTTAACTTTAATTGGATCGTGGTTTGGTTCACTAGTAATTGGGTAATATATAACATACGTCTTTGAAATTTAATTTAGTGTATCGCAAAAGTTTAACCTTTTTAGTAAACATGTAAAAAATATTAAATTAGAGTATTGAGTAAACTTCTTATTATAATGTTAAATTACAAGATGAATAATATAATTTGATTAAATTAAAATTTTATAATTTATATCAAATTTAATTAGTCATCTCTCGTAGTTAAATATGACATTATCATCATTTTCATTATTCATGAATAAAATATTAAAATATGTTTTACTTTTATAGTTAATTTTAATTTGAATTTTTTTTAAATATTTTCATTTAATTTATTAACCAATTAATATAGATTAAGGTAGCGTTTTGGTTGGATGGAATCCCTTGGAGTTGGGGGGAATTGGAATCCAATTCCACTACTTTCCCATGTTTGATTCAAGTTTTCCAAGGGAATTGGAATCCCTCATGGCTTCAATTTTCCATCAAATGAGGGAAAGTGAATTTCATTCAAGAATAGATGGAATTCAATCCAACATGGGAATTGAAATTTGACCATACTACCCTCATCAATCTTTTGGTAACTTATTCATATATTGAATAAAAATATTTTTTTTATTATTTCGGGTCGGGTCGGGTTTCTAATTCTTATATTCGGGTCGGGTGAAACTTTATTTTGGTCAGGTCGAGTCGGTTTTTTAAGGTGTGGTATTCGGGTCGGGTCGAGTTCGGATTTAGGGTGAAAAATACCCGACCCAAAAATATATATAATTTCACCTTATATATTTAGGAATAATTACAATAATACCCTTCTATATATATATATTTTCAATTAAGTCACTGTTTTTATTGAATAAAAATAATTTTTTATTATTTCGGGTCGGGTCGGATTTCTAATTCATATATTCGGGGTCGGTGAAACTTTATTTTGTTCGGGTTGAGTTTTTTAAGTGTGATATTCGGGTCGGGTTCGGGTTTAGGGTGAAAAAAATCGGGTCGGTTTCTAATTCATATATTGAATAAAAATAGTTTTTAGTATATTTTTTGTAACTAATTAACATAATCCGATTTGAATGTGTCAAAATATTGCTCTATCTTTTGGTAATTTATTAACATATTTTGATTGCGATGATTTTAACTTATGATGTTTATTAGCATGATTTTTATAATTTATTGAAATGAAAAATTAATCAATAAAATGAAATTTTAATATTTTTTAATTTTTTATAATATATTACTATATGTAAGTTGTAAAACAAACTAAAATAAAGTAAAAAAATAAGAAGGGTAATTTTGTCATTTTATCTTATTGAAATTAAATTCATCTGACATGTCTGCGAACCAAACAGAATATGAAATTGGATTCCAATTCCTGACAGATTTCAATTCCTTCACATATTTCAATTCCCTCATAAACATTCCAACGAACCAAACGCCACCTAAGTATTATAAAAATTTATTGTGAAAAACAATTTCTTAATATAAATTATTTTATTCACAACGTTAATATTAGAGGCGGAGCTTTGGGGAGTACGGGAAGAAATGAAAATTGCATGGGAACTCATTGAAAAATATGATCATTGATGTTGACAACAAGAAAGTCTGGAAGCACTTACAGGTTGCTGGTCCAAAAGATTTTGAAGCAACAGTATGGTATTGCATAGCTGATATGATAAGGAAATATTGGGATATTCAAGCAGCACCACCCTTGTGAGAGGAACAAAATTACTGATGAGATGGTCAAATTGGGACAAGAAGGAAATTCAAGAACCCACAAATGATAGTATCTTTAAGAATAGTTTATGATCTTGACAGGGGGAAAAGTGGTAGAGTTAGTTATTAGGCTAGGTTGCTCGTCATTACAATAAATAAAATAAATAAAGAGGTATATTGCAATGCAACCTAAAAGTCCAAGTTGTAGTAATTTATTACAAGCCCAACAACTTAAGATGGTAAAAGTACATGAATCATGTGATATTCTTTATACTTTATTAAATTGGAAATTGAAGTTTGCCTTTGAATTGAATATTCATTTCTATTTTATTCCTCATCATGACCCGTACATTTCTTGCCTTCATCGGAGAAAGAGGAGCCCTTGATCCATCATGGGTCATGGCACTGTTTTGAAAACTGGATCGGATCGGCCGATTTAATCGGGAACCGCTGTTCTTATCCGGTCTATTTTACCCCGGTTCAACCGGTTATAGTAAAACGTAAAGAACCGTTCGAATCGGCTTTGAACTGCTCGAACCGATCAGAGTGAACGGTTAACCTAATTTTTTATTTTTATTAATGTTTTTTGTATTTTATTAATTTTTAAAATAATTATGACGTCGTCGTTTACGACCGGTCTGACTGGTTCGACCGATTGAACCAGTGACCGATAGCACGACCGATTCGCTGACCGGTCCGATTCTAAAACAATGGTCAATGGGATGTTCCGATAAAATTAAATCAATTTAATCCGATGCTAATTTGGATCTCATTGAAAAACTCATCATTTGTTAAATATTTTTTTAATAATTTAGGTAATTATAAGATATTATCTTTTCAGAATCTTTTTAGTTATCAATAATATATATCCGTAGATACAGTTGTTTAAACTTAAAATCTTAATAAAAATAATACTATATTTAATTACTAAGACTACTTTATATGTTATTATTTGACAAATGTTTACATTTCATTAAAAAACGGTGATACAAATTGATGTTAGCACTTTGTATGTAACACAAGTTCAACGGTTAGCTACTTAGCTTTAGTGAATCTTCTATTTATTACATGCCTATAAAATATTAGGTAAATACTATTAAGAATTTTTATTTTCACGAGTACAAAAGTATTCATAATTATTTATTTTAATAAATTACAATTTAGTTACCTCAGTATTTTGTGGTTTTGTTTTAGTCACACAATTATTTTTTACTAAATCATATCTAAAGTTATGTTTTAGATCTATTTTGATCATCTCTTGTTAAAAAAAAACAGTGATATTGACATATCATCATAGGATAATGTCATGTCATTACTGAAATATAAAAATAACGTATCAATAGTTCTATTTTTTTAATTATGAATAATCAAACAGAACACAAACGTAATTTAAGTATGATTTTTTAAAATAAAATTGAATTATGAAAATGAATCATAATAATAATTGGGTGACTAAATATATAATTATATAATTTTTATTCTGAAAAAAAAATCGTAGGAACTTGTCCTTATTTTTTTCATAAAGTTTGTACGATTTTTTCCTCATCGTTATTTTTTCCATTTATGCAAGTTTTTCATTTTATTATTTTTCCTTTTTATTTTTAATCTTAGTCCTCATTCGTTATTATCTTTGGATTTGTTGAGTCTTGATAAAATCGTTTTTACATAAATAATTTTACTATTATAATATAAGAATAAGTGTGATAATGCTCATAAAATATACCAAGATTTTATTTAAAAAATTATTTCAAAAAAATTATAAAAAAATGAGAAGAATTCTACTAATATCGAGAATAAAAATACAAAAAAACATTTACATAAACAACTTCACATAAAATCATAAATAATATATTTATAGAGATATTCTTGATTATAAATGAAATTCATTTAGTATAAAATTATTCAAAATAAATTTTATCATTAATTAACATTAAAAAAAGTAAGTTTCTAATAAATTACATCGAATTCGGATCACATTCTAATATTTTACACATATATTCCTAAATAATTTTATCTGTATTTTATAAATAAAATTATTATATTTTTGTAATTTTGCGTACAACCTACTAACCCACTGTTTGGTTCGTAGAATAGTCCAGTTTTTTTCAGCATAAAAACTTTAATATGAAGTGGAACAAAATGAACATGAAAGGCGTCAGCATCAGGAACTGTGGTGAGGCCCCCTTTTTTCCCTTGTTTCCATTAATGTAGGAGCCCTCTAATACCAACCGAACCAGTTTGGATTTGTCTTCCATGTTTTTTTTTAACTTTTGATTATCATCTTCGCTTTCTCTCTTCTCTTTTTCAGTTTCAGACATCATGGGAACTCATCAACCTCCTGCTCCCGACAATGGTGATCATGTCCCTGACAACTCAGTGAGTGCCCTTTTATTATTATCTTACATCATCCTTTTTGCATGCAGTAGTGCATCTTTGTTTTGTCTTGTGTCTGTATGTATGATGTATTTGTTTGTCCTTTAGCTCGTGTAAAATTTGCTGATTTTCGCCTAAGAACTTGAAATGGACATAAAATCCTGCTGAGATCATGATCCTGGTTCAAGGGCTCTTTTTTTTCAGTCAATACACGTGTCGTGATATCTATCTCTGAGATTCATCAGAAAAGTGAGTACTGTATTAGTTCATTCATACGCTCAACCGAAGGAGCATCAAACCTCACAAACGGGTATAATTTTGTGGTATTCCGTACTCGTTTTAATTAGGTGGAGGTATAATTTTAATAGATAGTGGACGGGTACGATTTTGGTACCTGTCGCGAATAGTGAGCGGGTGATGAGTTTGAGACCTTACCTTCCCCGCATCATCCCGCCCACTAAATACGCATTAAATTTTGGACTATTATGAATTTAAGTATAATTTTATAGCTAATTTATAAATCTTAATATTGTATAAGATATAACTTATAATTTACTAAATATTAAGGATAAGTTTATGAATCAAACTTTTTTCAAACTCGTGCTTGCGCTTACACTTAACTCAGATAATTCTTAGTTTATTTTATATACTTTAAAATCTAGTTACTTATTTCAGATAATCCTAGTTTATTTTTTCTTAATGGACGTGTTTGTTTATGTTTGTTGCTTATGTATAACTTAGATTGTTGTCATGCGGGTCTAGCGGGTACGTCT